GACATAAGATAGGAGTGGGTCTGACGCTCTCCCAAAAGCATTACTCCAGGGCTTCTCCTTCATCTGCTGGTTCATTCTCGGACGTAACCTCATCGGCTCAACCTAACTCACGTATGGATCATTATTTAAAGAAATCGTACTATGAACAAATGAAGATTTATGACAATCAGGTGAAGATGTTAGAGTTGGTGTCTAAATTGCAGCCCAACATCCAATTACCTACGATTGCTCGTCCAGAATCAATTAACCTAGACACTCCTCTACCTCCTTCAGATGATGACAGTCCTAATGATGATTCAACTGTTGGCGATGCTGCAAACTTAGACGAATAGTTTCGTTATATGTTCTATTTTATTTTTCACTTTATTTAGACTTTTATATTTTTTTTAACATTATATATGCACTTCATGTAGTATTCATAATATATTGTATAAATTTATTTAGATTTATTATTTTTAATATTAATTTATATTTTACTTTTAATGTATCTTAATAATTTATATTCAGTATGTAACATAATAACGTTTAATTAAAATTATTAAAAATTAATTAATTACCATTTTTTTAAAAATTAAAAAAAAATTTATTCCAGTTTTTTGCGACGACTTTTTTATACGTGTCGTCGCAAAAAAGGAAGATTATTTGCGACGACATTTTGAAATTTGTCGTCGCAAAAAATATTATATCACGAGAATTTCAGAACAGCATATTAACGACGCTTGTCGTTGCAAAAGAAATATGTTGTTGCAAATATATTTGTGACGACACTGTGTCATCACAAAAAAAGTTTTTGCGACGACATATCTGCGACGACATGTCGTCGCTAAAACTTTTAATTGCGATGACACTGGGGTTTTTGTGACGATAAAAAGTCGTCACAAAAACACCTTTTTCTTGTAGTGTACCAATCTAACACGCTTGTCATAATAAACCCAGCCAAAACTAAATTAGCTATATAAGTCGTTTTGATTGTGACTATCTACTAGGAAATGTGCGTGGTATATATGTTATACGTTTCTATTATCAGTTTATTGATTACAGCATATGTATATATTGTAATTTACATGTTATACGTCATCGTCATCGTTTTTTGCTACTAAAAGTAGAGAGATTCGTGAAAATACAATATATAAATACAAGTCTTAACTAGAATACTATGTTATATGTTGTCGTTTATGATTAATAATCATCATAATAATAATTATATAAGGAGCAGAATTATGAGGCACGTACGTTTCCTTTGATCTCAGTCTAATTTTTGTCTTTTGGGCGGTTTAGTCAGTGGTTTGGACTTCCTAATCATAATCAACCACTTATATGTATACCCGAATTTATCTCATTCACTAAAAAAGGCTATTCATTATTAATTAAGTGACTTTGTGCATAAGCTCTCACACACATGTGAGATATGTATTACCGGTTTTAATTATAATATATGTAGTCTAGTTTAACACTAAATCCACACCCCTCATCTATTATTTAAACAAGTTGAATGAATTCATATAGACAAGGGAAAAAAAACTTCTCTGGAGATTTTATTATGTAATTGAATGAATGAAAATAACAAGCTATGCTATCTATTTATAGGGGATGACAATTCGAAATAGAAAAAGAAACTAATCCTAAATATCCTAAATTTGAAATTTAGAAACAATTAAATCAGAAAGACAGCTGAAATAAGGAAACAATTAAAATTAATTAAAATTAAAATTTGAAATAAATCAGCAAATAATTCGAGCAACTTCCATATTCTGATCTTCCGCTGGTAGTTCCTGGCGTGGCATCACCATTTTAGTTCATTATATAATAAGCTCGAATTTTCCTTGAATTTAAACCTATATTCAGCTGCCCCAAATCCGTCACACCATCACTGAAAACTAACGACCGACCGACCAATCTTGTTAATGGCGCTCTCCCAAGAAATGAAGAAAAAGCAAGAATTGAAGGACGAGACTTTACAGATGTAGAAAAAGGTTGAAAATTTGAGGTTTGAAGACAAGGGAGACTAAGAAAATGCTCAAAAAGTTGAGCGTCAATTCTTCTCTGACGGAGGAAATACTCGACAACTCACTTATGACGGCGATTAAAAGTGTTAAGGCCAGGGAGATGATTGACAGCCATGGCAACTCCACCATAGAGGTTCAATTTTTATTTATTTATTTTTTCCTGATTGGCATAAATGACATATGTTGGTTTGATTAATTAATTAATTTAAGTTGTGCGTGTGGGTTTCTCTTCTCAGATTGATGGCACTCTGGTGAATTGCTCCGTTCCGAGTTGTCGACCCCTCCATGGTATATGAACTATTTTTTCAGTAAATATTTTATTTTATTTTTTGCTAATCAAATTTTCAGTAAATACTTGACAACGCAATTTCCATGTTATTTTAATATATCTATCTCATATATGCTTGCTTTTGGTAATTTGACTTATTGTAGATGCTGATGAAGATCATAATCGCTTAGGAGTCTAGAAGGTAATTTATTTTATTATCATGCCTCATCTTTTTAATTAGTAGTCTTGTATTAGTCTCCATTCGCTATGTGTCAAATTAATTTTATTGTTCCTTGGCTTTATGTAAACACCGTCATTGCTCCCACATTGATTGGCAAGGTTGGTTTAAATTGACCTTTTTTTTTTTTTTTTAAATAGTAGAATCCTGTTCTTTAACGTTTGGAGTCCAACTTGAATTGAGTCTTTTTATTTATTTTTACTGGCCTTTTATTTATCTTGAAGTTTATTATTCTAGCCTTTTAGTATCTGTAATCTTCCTAGCTACTACTTTAGTCAGCTCCTGAAGTTTGCAATCAGCTTATTCCACAGGTATGTAGTAACTACATTCATTCCTTTCTGTAAATGTTTTGTAGGTTCTGAAATTAAACCTTTTATTTTAGGGAGTTTTTCTGGTAGTCCCTACAAAAATAGGACTATCGATATTCTCTGTTTTTCAACTATTAGATCTGTATCAAAATTTGTTTGTTCTGCTTACTTTTTTAATTTCATATGATTCTGACCAGATCTAAAAGTTAAAAATGGAGACTACCTCCCTTCTATTTTTCATTTTTCTACATTTTTCATGATCTTTCCTAGTAAATGAGACAAGAATAATAGCAACAAGACAGTCGTTTTATTCAAATCAATTAGTTGAGCCGGGATTAGCTCTGAATGTTTGTTCCAAAACATGTAGATTTTGTTCGCTTTGTTCCAAAATATTTTTAAAAAGCGTATAAAAAATAATTAAAGTTAGATAGGTTGAAAAAAAAACTTATTTTAATTAAAAAATGTGAAGAAAAGAATGTATTTTAATTTCTTATGCCAATTTAATATTTTTTACACTTTGAACATTAGTATTGTTTGTTGTAACTTTCTAGTTTTCTTGTTTGTCCTTTGGATTTTGGACATTAGATTTGAATATTTTGTGTTTGTGGTATTATCAATTTGGGTTGTATTCATTTATTATGATTATAAGGAATGTTTTACATTTTTCCGCAATTTCTGCTCAAAAAATGCAACTAAATATACTGGTAAGTTAACTATGGTCACCATCCTGATTAATTAGTAGTCTTGTATTAGTCTCCATTCCCTATGGTTAAGTATGTGTCATATTAATTTAAGGGAGAAAGAGAGAAATAGGCCAAGACTTGAGATGAATTAAAATTAATAGGCTAATAGTTTACATAAGTTAATAAACAGGCCAAATTACTGTTTTCGTCCATAACTTGTCTGGTTATAAACCATAACTTGACAAGTTATTGTCCATAACTTATCTGGTTATGAATCATAACTTAACAAGTTTGTCCATAACTTATCTAGTTATGAACCATAACTTGACAAATTTGTCCATAACTTATCTGGTTATGAACCATAACTTGATAAGTTATGGCCTATTAATTTCTATAACTAAAAATTGGCCTATATACTTTCTTAAACTTTTCATATTGACCCATTTCCTACTATTTCCCTTAATTTAATTGTTCCTTGGCTTTATGTATAGGCTGTTGAGTATGTAAACACCGTCATTGCTCCCACATTGATTGCCGAGGTTGGTTTTAAATCGAGCTTCTTTTTTTTTTTGGTGGTTGAATGGTAGAGTCCTTTCCTTTAACGTTAATTGGAGTCGAACTTATATTGATTCTTTTTCAATACTGATATTTGTCTGATTCCTTCATTGTACATAATTATATGGAATTCACATTGCACTTTTAGGATCCAACCGAGCAGGCTGCTATTGATAACTTGGTTATTCAAAAACTTGACAGAACTTTGAACAAGTGGGGTTGGGACAGTCGTAAGGTACAACAACAAATTGCCTAATTTTGCATGCAGATATACATTCAAAATATTAGCTTCTAAGTTTACTCTCTCTAAGTCTAAGTCTCAACTGCTCTTCTTGTGATCTGCCTTTACAGTTAGGTGCAAATGCGGTATTGGCAGTGTCGATTGCGGTATGCAAAGCAGGTGCTCATGTCAAGGGAATCCCTCTCTACAGGGTACGCACCTGCCTATTCTCACGGTCTAATTGATTATTGATGACCAAGTATTGCCAATGTTGCTACTATCAATATGAAATTGTAATGTGTAGTTAATGGGTATTCGTGATATTGGCTAATTTAGTTTATATTACGTACTTCCATATATTTTTGACTCTCAGAGCCTCAACTTGACCTCCTTTGGATATTACAGCATATCTCAAACCTAGCCGGTAACACTAAGAATAACTTGTCGTTGCCTGTTCCTGCTTTCAACGCCATCAAACATGCTACACATGCATGCTTCTTGAAGTTAATAGTTCTTTAGTTTTGCTTTTTCATGGATAATCCCTTATTCTGATCATTTTAGTATTTTTGTATTTGCAGGAGTTCATGCTTCTACCCTTTGCGGGTTTCACGTTTGTTGAGGCTTTTAAGATGGGTAGGGACTGTGTATTACGACCATATACAGGCTCCATTTTTGGAGGAATATGGTAGAGATGAAATTAAGGACCATGATGAAGGCTCTCTCTCGCCTAATATTCAGGTCATTCCCTTAATTGTTTATTGATTCGTTGCTTTTATTTTACTTTCTAGTACTCGTAGAATTGATTTTTCTTTTCCTCAATTTATAAATTTATTCACATGGTCCTTAGGGAATCGAGGGTTGTCTGGAATTGATTAAGGAAGCCATTGTTGAATCGGATACTATCTTAATTATACTTTTTCTGGAGAATTGCACCTTTTAAGTTTAAGGAATTTGAACAACTAGAATATTTAGCTCTTATATTTGCTTTTTTTCCCCCTTTTTTTTAAAGGTTTTTATCGGAGTGGATATGGCTGCATCTGGTTCTGATGAAACAATGGATAAGGCCTACAAGCTTAGCTTGCTTAAAGAGGTGAGTAATCTGCGTGAGACTGTCAATGTAATGAGACTGTTGGTTCATGGTGACGACGACTTCTAGTCACTAAAAGTGTTAAAAGTCCATTTGATTGCAGTGGCGAAACGGAGGATGACTTCATTGCTGATCTTTGTGTGGGTTTGGGAGCGGTAATTATCTATCTTAATTTTCAGTTATCATATCAGTGACGAGGCCGTTGAATACTTGTATTCATAATTTTTCTTTTTGTTTGTTTTTCTCAGGATATAATTAAGATAGGAGTCCCCATTAACCATGAGCGCTTGAAGATGTATAACCAGGTTGGTCCTTTTTTTTTTTTTTTTTTTTTTAATTTGATTATTATACATAGATAGTGAGATGTCGGGTTTTGCTGATTTCCTCTCGCCTAATATTCAGGTCATTCCCTTAATTGTTTATTGATTCGTTGCTTTTATTTTACTTTCTAGTACTCGTAGAATTGATTTTTCTTTTCCTCAATTTATAAATTTATTCACATGGTCCTTAGGGAATCGAGGGTTGTCTGGAATTGATTAAGGAAGCCATTGTTGAATCGGATACTATCTTAATTATACTTTTTCTGGAGAATTGCACCTTTTAAGTTTAAGGAATTTGAACAACTAGAATATTTAGCTCTTATATTTGCTTTTTTTCCCCCTTTTTTTTAAAGGTTTTTATCGGAGTGGATATGGCTGCATCTGGTTCTGATGAAACAATGGATAAGGCCTACAAGCTTAGCTTGCTTAAAGAGGTGAGTAATCTGCGTGAGACTGTCAATGTAATGAGACTGTTGGTTCATGGTGACGACGACTTCTAGTCACTAAAAGTGTTAAAAGTCCATTTGATTGCAGTGGCGAAACGGAGGATGACTTCATTGCTGATCTTTGTGTGGGTTTGGGAGCGGTAATTATCTATCTTAATTTTCAGTTATCATATCAGTGACGAGGCCGTTGAATACTTGTATTCATAATTTTTCTTTTTGTTTGTTTTTCTCAGGATATAATTAAGATAGGAGTCCCCATTAACCATGAGCGCTTGAAGATGTATAACCAGGTTGGTCCTTTTTTTTTTTTTTTCTTCTTTCAATTGAATTATATACATAGATAGTGAGATGTCTGGCTTTCTGCTGATTTCTATTGGGTTTGCTTGATATCAATTATTACACATCACCGCTGAAAAAATTAGACATTTTTTTAACATAATCAATAAATTATTTCTTATCCATAATCAATAACTTTCGTAATAAATTGGGTGCAGCTTTTACAAATTGAGTGCGACTTTCTACGTGATCCGGAGTATGTTTGAGGAAGGCAGGCTCTAATCTCGTCGCTGAGTCTTCTTAATATTATCACCGCTAATGATACCATGTTATTATGTCTTTTCATTTTGTCCTTAAATTATTTTGACTTGATATCATCTTTTAAAAAAATAGAGTTTTTATTTATTTTGACTGGCCTTTTATTTATCTTAAAGTTTATTAGTTTGGCCTTTTCTTATGTGTAACCTTCCTAGCTACTTTAGTCAGCTCTTGAAGTTTGCAATCAGCTTATTCCACAAGTACATACTTGCGTTCCTCTCTGTGAAATCTTTTGTAGGTTCTCATCAAGTTTTGTTTCTTTCTGAGACTGAAATTGATTTCTTATTTTGCCCCCTTAATTAATAGTTCTTAACATTTAAAAGTTTGTATTAAAGTGATACGCCGATCAAGTATTTATTAAGGTCATAATTAAAATTAATCCTTCATATACATCAATTTAGTTCGACATATCTATCAACACAACCAAATGTAAATGGGTTCTTTTAGGATTTGTTCCAAAACATTTTTTTTTTGTTTTCTTCTGTTTTTTTCTTTTATCTCTTTGTTTTTTTCCGTCCTTTCTTTCCTTTATTTTTTTTTAAACTTTCCTACCTTGTTCCTCCCGTATTTCTTTTTTTTGTCTGCCATTTTTACATTTTAATCTTTTTTGCCTTATTATACATTTTTTCTTCTTTTTCTTTTCTCTAAATTGACCTTCATAAATATACTTCTCTTTGATTTCCCGTTTAAATAATTTATTCTCATACATATTCTTGTCTAATTTTTTTTATTTATATCATGTTCTCCTAATAAAAAGTTTCCTAAGTTTTTTTTTTTTTTTAAATTTATTCCTTTTTTCCTCTCTTTTCCTTTTTTTTTTTTTTGTGTGTTCACCCATTCTCATCCTTTTTATGCATTTTTTTTTTCTTTTTAATCTTTCCAAATGAGACCCTAATAAAAGAACAGTAGAGAGAGATTCGTGAACATATGTAAACAAGTCATAACTAGAGTACGTACTATGTATATAATTGACAGTAATAAATATAAAGAGAAAAATGAGGTACACACGTTTCCATTGATTTCTTTTGGTCAGTAATTAAAAGTTGCGAATTAAGTTTCATAATGTATGATCGAAGAGTTAATATACTAATCAAGAAAGTAGATAAGATATGTATAAGTAGATATACATTCAAATATTGATCTCAGCCTAATTTGACGTTGAAATTGAGGAATTCATCAGAAAGAGCTCTTGAGGACCTCATGTCCATTTCACTAGCACAAGTGGAGTAAAAATCATCAATATCATCCACCCTATTATAAGCAGTAGAAATACCACTTGTTTTATGATGATCTGCCGTTGATATGATCTCTTTCAGTTCTTCAATCTTATCAGCAGCCTCTTTCACATCCAATCTCTTCTCCACATCCACATCGCAACACTCCATCCCTATCCTCAGCAGCTTCACCAACACCTCCCTTTCCTCGCCCGCGTTACTCGTTGGCCCCGCCTTCAGTAATTCCCCATCGAACACCTCGTTCAGCTCCTCCTCCTCCCTGTCTGCCTTGGAACTCACCCACTTCACCAAATCCCCGTAATCCGGGGGTTTACCAGTCAGTATCTCTAGTATCAGTATCCCGAGGCTCCAAATGTCGGTCTTCTTGGTGATCCGACCGTGTTGGAGGTACTCTGGGGACTTGTAGGCCACCATAAGCTGTTGCGCATGCTCTTGGTTCGTTATTGGGATTAGAGCGTAGTCGCTTAGGAGAGGCTCATAGGATTCATTGAGAAGAACATTTGACGGTTTGAGGTGGCCATGTGCTGCGATTACGGTTGGAAGCTCGGTGTGAAGATACTTTAGACCATTTGCTACACCTTTGATGATCTTCAACCTTGTTCTCCAATCAAGGCTGCCTCCACCTTGCCCTCCTGCAATGCACATACCATGATCATCAGAATTAGATTACTATGTCATGTAAATTTTCTTAGACCTTCAAAAAATGTTAATTTTCTTAAGAACTGTAAAAAGTGTTTAAAAAACTCTTAGACTTATTAAAAAAAAAGTTGAGTAAATTTTCTTAACCACCAAGTATGATTGGAGGAGGATTTTAGATTTTTCGCTTTGTTTTGAAACTTTATTATTCATTTTTCTAGTATGTTTCAAGAAGCAAATGTTACATTTAACCATTACTTATCATGATTTGTCACTAATATACTTTTTGTTCACAACCAGATGTTGACACAAAGTTTACAATGATTAACTAAAAGTACTTCAAAACTTTTTGCTACAGATTTTCACAGAATTTGTTGTTTAGCCACTAAGATTTTCAATTCTTGTTGCAATTATGTTGGAACTAAGTATAAATGTTTTACAGTGTATCAAGAAGCAAAATAATGGGAATGGCAAACATATAATCATGATGTGTACGTGTGTGTGTGTGTGTGTGTGTGTGTGTGTGTGTATATATGTATGTATATGTTGTAAAACAAACGTACCATACAAATGAACTGCCAAGCTACCCTTTTGAACATAGTCAGAAACCAAGAGCTTCTCTTCCTTCCTATAATAATAGGCCACAAGAGGAAGCACGTTACGGTGTCTCAACCTCCCTATCCTTCTCATGTGTTGTTGGAACTCTTCCCTTCCCACATTGTTCATTTGCTTAAATATCTTCACCACCATCACCGTGCCGCTCAATAACGCCGCCTTGTAAGAGGAGCCAAAGTTTCCGCTCCCTAAGATCTCGGCAGATGCCCTAAGCAAGTCCTGCATGTCAAACTTCTCTCTGTCGTCCCTAACGGACACCAGCTTCGTGCTCTCCCCTCTTTTCGCGGTTGCACTACTACTCACGGCTAGAGAGCGTCTGGGTGACAAGCTTTCGTCTTCACCTTGCTCCGTCTTGGGCTGCGTCGGATCCTCTTCAGTTGTGGATGTTTGCCTTCGGTGGCTGAGGATGAATATCACCGCGCATATGGCGGAAAGTGCCATTAGAACAACTATCACGACGATGACAAGACTGAATACCGAGAACTTGTGTAGGGAACATGGTTTTAGTGGAGGTCCACAGAGATCTTGGTTTTCTGCTCATTCGGAGAAACTGTCCAATATTAGTATTAAGGTTATTTTCTGCTCTTTTAATTTGAAACACATGAATTTTGTTGTTTAATTTGTGCAGGCCACAACTATGGATCAAGAAGAGTTCATTGATTGTGTATCCAATGATGTATGATTTTTTGCTAAAAGGATAATGTTATAATCTATAGCTATATATTTAGGATTCCATACTTTCTAACCTTTCCCAAGTTAATAGCTACTTTTGCTTTAAAAACTATAGGTTAATGAGAGTGCACATGTCACTCAATTAGGGGAAAAAATATATATGTATATGTGTGTGTGTGTGTGTGTGTGATAGTGCCTCCACTTAAAAAATACAATACTATTATACATATGTGCATGGACATAGTTTTTAATGATGATCACTTACCATAAAAGGAGCTGGCATCCAAAGTACTAAGGCCTAACGGGATGTGACCTCCCAATGCATTGTTGGACACATTGAAAGAAAGCCATGTCTTCTGAGGGAAATTCGGTATGAGCCCTTCAAATTGGTTGCCCTCGAGCCTCAACTCCTTAAGCTTAGGCAAGAAAGCGAGCGACGAAGGGATCCCGCCTGTGAATTGGTTGTAAGCCAAGTGCACCTTCTTCAATGACAAGGTTCTTAAGAAGATGTCACTATCAATGACCCCGCTGAATTTGTTGTTTGACAGATAGACTGTTTTGAGTGATCCGAGTTGCCCTATATCGGGTAATGGCCCGTCGAAATTGTTGTTCATAAGGCTTATGGTTCTAAGGTTAGGCAAGTTTTTGAGAGAGTCCAAATCAATTGTGCCTTTAAGCCCCATGTTCTCAAGCTTTAGACCCCAAATCATGCCTTGGCTGCAAAGAACACCTTCCCAATTGGATTGTTCGTTGGCGGTACATGGTGAGGTTGAGGCTTTCCAAGTAGGGAATAGGGCGGAATTGTTCTGCAAAGAGTCCTTGAATTTTAGGAGAGATTCAGAATCCGACGAGGAAGAAGAAGAAGAAGAAGCAAAGACAATAATGAAGAAGAAAAGGAGGAAAATAAGGCTTAATGGTTTTGTGTTAAAGATAATAATGGTGTGATGATATTCATGAGGTGATGCCATCAAATGGCGGGAGGAGAAGGGCTTAATCTTCTTCCCACGAGAGTAGCGGTCCAAAATTCAGATGGCATAGGAAAGAAAAAGGTGACAAACAGAAAGAGAGAGAAAGAGGAAGAAAGAGAGGATACTATTACTAAGAATAGGAGACGGCAATGCAGAAATGAGTTAAGAGAGGTAAGAGAGAATGGTTTAACATTTGACAAAGTCCTCCTATCACTCCTCTGCAGGAGAAATACACGCCAAGCCTCTCAATTTCCCAGAAAAATAAACTTTCCATACATACTACGTATACATACATACATACATACATAAATGCATACATGCATATATATATATGTATGTATGTATGTATTTTCTAGTTTCCATAAAAATAAATAAATACACACATACACACATCTCTGTACATATGTGTGTACACATGTATGTATTTGTGTGTATTCCTCTTGAACCCATATGTCTTGTTATAATCTCTCTCTCTCTCTCTCTACGAAGAAAATTTATGGTTTGAGTTCGTTCTTATTGAGTCTGGTTTCACACAAATAACATTTCTACAGAACACATGAATCTACCGAACTGTATTATAGTATGATATCCTAGGCAAGCCTCAGATTTCCATTATTTTATATCCAAAGTTGATTCTCTTTTGAACCACTTTTGGCAAATTTTGATACCCAATAATATGAAAAGCAATATGCCCTTAATCAGTTCATGATAGGGAGAGAAAATATCAGTACACCTCAAAGAAAATAATGGGAAGTAAATGTTTCATAAGTTACAACCATGTGATCACCTACATTTTCATCGGACTTTTTCTCATTTTAACCAAAATCACCATCAAATGATGGAGGGTCCTTATCACTTTTCAGTAACATATGTTTGTACATGTGTACCAAAGAATGAGTACGAAAAATGGAAGAGGTCATAATGAATCCCTTCATTCTTTGCTAATGAGACAATTGTTAGGTTTGAATTCAGAATATCCAACGTCAACTAGACATAAGCCATCAGGGGGTGCAGGCGGAGCAGTGGCGCGTCTACATGTGGCATCCATCAGCTTTAGCAACGCGTCTTCTTCAGCACCTGCAGCCGCTTCCCTTATTGATGTCGCCACTAGTACCCGAACCATCTGCGAAACAATTGCTAGCTCCTTTAAGAAACAGTAATTGTGACGGAGACAACCATTTCTAGGTCACCCAGTACAATTTAGTATTTAGGTTTCCGAAAGATTTTGGAAATTTTAGAACTAATATAAGGACTGAATTCTAGGTTCAAGGGCGAAAGTGACAAATCCTGAAAACTTTGTGGGGCACAAGCACTAGAAACCGTAAATAACCAAGTTTCAACAAGTAGGCAGGTGAAAGAAAGTAGTACCTTCCGTAAGAAGCGATTTGCAACCAATTCGACACACATAATCTTTCTTCCTTCCGTGCAATCCTATAAGAATGGCAATGCTATGAGTTATTGCGTTTACATTAAGATGTGTTAATGAAACTGTGAGGAAGATTATCGATCACAAGTTAGTAAAAAATACTTACAGAAGTTGGCAATCTGGCTTCTGCAGCTCGAGCATGGTAGATAAAACACTCTGTTGGTGGACCTCTGAAAAATTATAGAGAGCTCAAGTTAGAGCAGCGATGAAAGACATACACACTAGCCATGAAACACACACACACACATATACATTGACAAGAAAAGGGGCATCAGAACACCGGGGGACAAGGTAATCTCAAAAGGGCTTCTTGTTTGTCCTTACTCATTCCTAGAAGCTTTTGTGTCACGTGCAAACATTTTATATGATAATAGCTTCCCTTCTAGTAGCCGTAAAAGTTGGTCCACCCGGCTAACACTAAACGAACTTGGCTTCTTCCCGCTTTCTAACTCCTCGCTGTCATCTATAATTAAGTTCCCAAAACTTTCATCGTTCCATTCTCCACATCCACTTTCAATCTTTTCATAAGTTTCAAGATTCTCTCCGTTCTTATTGCTCTGCTCCTCATCCTCTTCATCATTGAAGGGGAAAATGTAGAGATACCGCCTCCATTTGGCGGAGAAATTTGGATGGAAGACGCGAGATACCTGCAGCAAAACTGTCAAAATTAGAATGGAGAAAAGCAATACAAACATCGGAAGATCTAAAGCTGCTATGTTGACAAAGATCAAAGTGAATCAGCTGAAGATAAGATGAAAGATGTTCACAACAATAAATTGATGCCTTGGGAAACTGGAACAGTTCAGTACCTCAGAAACAGATTTGGCTTTAAGTTTTCCTAGTGCTGCATTGTTGATTGCCTCTTCAATATCTTGACATGTAATATCCTTTCTCCAAGTATCTAGAAACACACACACACACATATATATATATATATAATATGAAGATCAATCTTTTCCCCATCTGAAAAACTTCAAGTAAATGGAAAGCTACATCCCCAATGGCTGGCTCAACCATTTCAAAGACTAGGCCGCTTCGTTTCAGGAAAATATAAACAACTAGATACATACATGAATTCAGAGAGTACTAAAGTCACTTTTAGCTTTTCATATGCTACATGTAGATTGTGGTACACATAAATTCGTTCCAAGAAATATGCAAAGGTCGACACAAAATGTGGTAAAAAAAAAAAAAAAAGTTAAAAAGCAAGATAAGGGTAAGGTGATCTGAACATACAGAAAGAACAAACTTGTTGAAGAGCTGTGACTCCTTTGTCAGTGCGTCCTGCAACAACAGTACAAGCTTCTAATGGTAAACATTTGTCTTTGAGCAATTGGGCTTTCTTCTCATCCACAAATCTCCCAAGAGATCTTTCCACTAAACTGTTGAAAAAAAAAAAGAAAAAGTAAAGACAGTTAGTTCAATATCAGATGATGCTGGATTCAGTTCAGTTCTATTGTTCCACTTTGCTAACAAATTTAATTTAATAGAGAAAAAAAAATAGAGTGTTACCCCACCCCTGTACAGTGTTGAGGCCTGGCTGCTTTTGCCAACCATCAAAAGAAGCACCATGATATCCAAGAACCACCTTGAATGTCGCTCTAGCCCATCTCCCACTTCTTTCTTCACTCTTTTTTAATTTAACTTTATCATCAGAAATCTCAGGAATTTCAGCATCATAATCATCATCATCAACTTGATATTTCTTCTGAGAATAAAGTTTCCGCATTTGTTTACAATTCCCCCAACAAACATAATTAATAAAAAAAAAAAGGAGATATATGTATATTTTGGTTCTGGTAAGAGTTTAAGAGAGACCCACATGGAGGGGAAACAATGAGGAGAAGGAGGTGGTTCCGTTGACGAGATTGGAATAGAAATCAAGTACTTGCTGCCATGGTCTTCCGTACATGAATTGGTAGCTTTCCCTGCCAGAAAAACCACCACCCATGTTAGAATCAATTCAATTCTCCCAACAATCTGTTTTTCTTGTCTATCTTTCTTTCTTTCCAATTTTTATATTTTCTCGGAAAAAGCAAGAAAAGCAAAAGCAAAGGAAACCTGGCAGTCCAACGGGAGAATCTGCAGGGATCGGAATGGTTGTAGTGAACATAATCTTTGTTCGTTGAATGCGTTTCCATCTCAACCACGACACCAACTCTGCGAATCGGATTCAGATGTTTATGTGTTTGTACTTGTACTGTCTCTGTACACCATAGCATCATCGCTACTTTGCTTTACTTGTGTTGTATGTTTTTTGTTATACTTAGCCCCCAAAGGACTAAAATGTAAAATAACGACATGTTGTGGTTGGCAGCAGCATCAGAAACGACATGTCGTTTGAAACGATGTAATGTAGACAAAACCACGTAAAAGAGAAGTAGCATTTTCTTTAAAGCAGTACGAAACGTCTTTCATTTTACGTCTTAGCCGGAAGATATGTTTTATTCTAACTTGTGAAACTTAGGCCCAGACCGTTCATTTTATTGATTTATATTTAATTTTTTTATTATAATAAAAAATTCTCACATAAAGTTACATATTAACTCAAATCAGTAAATTAAACGGATCATTAAGACATTTTCAAATAATAATAATAAAAGAAATTAACTTAGGGAGTAAATTCACGTCCATACCTCTAATAAAAAAATTTACCATTGCAATTACTAATATAATCTAACGGTAATTTCACACTTAACTCTATCATAAATACCCCTAGTTTTTATTTGGGAGTTTGAGACATTGAAAACCACTCACTTTGATATTGACGAGAATGACCTTATCACATAAGTATTAGTTTTAGAGGTGTAAATTTAAACCGTGTGGACTCGGCTACCCTGTAGAAAAATTCTAGGCCGGCCCTAAAAAAGAGAGGGTCGACCCAGCCTGACCCTAAATCTAAAAAGCCTTACTAAAAAGTTTAAGGCTGGCTTAACTCGGCAAAAATAAAAAATATGATATTTAAACCGCACCGATCCGACTTTAAAGAAGAGAGAGTCAGCCTAACCCTTAAAGTCGGGCCGAGTCTAGACCAACAATGGCAGACTTCAGACCAACTTGTTTAGCCTAATCTAACCTTGTAACTCTAGTAGTTTGTCTATCTTTTTTTTTTTTTAATGCAATTACCCATTTCAAAGGAAAAAAAAAAAAAAAACAACAACAACGCACGCACCTACCATACACCAATTGACACGCCCTTATATTGAGGTAACGGGTTCAAACATATATGGATGCAAAGGAGGGGGGCTAAAAAAAAAGAACTATATAGGAGAGCTTTTATTATTGTACTTCTCGTTTTAATGCACACAAAGTGTAGATCCCCATCTCCCTTTTAACTCCATGAATCAAACAAACCCATTATCCATTATACAAGAACTTGAACCGATGCGCTACACCTTCATAGCATTGTTAAGTTTAATCTGGAGAAGAATAAACTTTTCTTTTCTGGCTAGAACGACGGAAGTTTCATTGCAAGGCTTCTGCAATGAATTATTGTTGTACGTTTGTTCTATAATAGATGTATGAGCCCGTACTGGACACCTCATCGTTGGCCTCCACGCGACGGAGCTGGTGGAGATTGAACAGCAGCTAAAGGGTTCACTTGATATGAAAACGCAAGTTGCCACAAGTCCACTACTGCCTTTTTTATGAACAAAGCTTGATTCTGAACAATCCTGCGCGTGACAAAAATAAAAGTATGTTTATCGTCAGATGATATCTATATCCTGATCTCTACATGCCAAAGCAAGAATATGGCTTACCCTTTTAGACTAGCTCGTTTCCGTCGTGAAATCCAATATGCGAGCAAGATCATAAAGCCAAGAGCAATCTTCCCCTTTGATATGACTACCTGAGCATTACCAAACTTCAAATTGATGGTGCGGATCCACCAAAAACATGGTTCCACCCGTTTGGACAGCCTTAAAACTGTTTGTTTTCTGCTCTTCTCTCTGTTTAGAGGGTAATTGCCATTGTCCAACACTTCCGGAGATCCGTCAGACATATTTAGCTTTTCTACGTTGGAAGAGTGGATTTTGTGGTTTTCAACCGACAAAGGCGAAGAGTACCCTCGTGACGAGTTCGTGGCTTTTACGGAATGAAGGGAGTGTAATCTTCTCAGAAGTCCCTAGAAAGATGAAAGACATTGGAAAGTTATGAACCAGTCATGTGCATTTGTTACACACACGCACACACGTGAGATGTCATCATTTTCATGTAGAATTCTCTGAATTAAGCATAGCAATGGCCAAATGCAAGAACCGAAATGCTATGAAAAGAGAGTCAATTAACTTTCTAGCCATTTAGGATTAGTGAAAATCCAATCAATGATGGTGGTGGGCATGGCTGATCCAAAGCAAGATGAACCTAGTACTATAGTTCACCTGCTGTTTTTCCTCTGGCAATTCGGCTTTCTCAACCCAGGTTATTGCGAGATTCACATCATGTGGAGTGGTTAGGAGAAGCTTCATAACATAGACCTCAACAACATCAAGATACTTATCGACTCCCAAAACAAAACGCTCATCACATACTTCTACATTATCAATGTTGGCTTCTGTGCCGGCAAGGACATAGTAACTTTCGTTCGCTAATCTCCACTTGCTAAGAAACTCTTCAAGAAATTCTCGAACACCAGAAGAATTTTCTGGTATCTGAAAACACACCCTGTGGTAAACAAGATATGATAAAGAATTGAGAACCACAAAATACCTGTAGATATTTTCAACTTAAATGCAACTGGTATATACAAAACAAAGTTAAAAACGAGAACTGTTTCCATTTCCTCTTGTATGTATGTTTTATTAAAATGCTAATCACATGGAATGAAAATAACAAGAAAAACTTGTGCAAAGGCTTATATATAAATTATACAGTTAAAAGTACCCGGTAAGAAGAACTTGAACAGGGATGGCTGCAACCGAAGGAAATGATTGTTTGAGCTCATTTAGGATTTCCGATGCCCTGAGAGCAAAGAACAACCCAAAAGAAGTTATAACAAGTCAATAAACAGAAAGGCAAGCAATAGGCGCAAAGCAACCAATTAAATATATTCGTTCTAACTGGAAGAAAGACGAGATATATTCGTTCAACTTAGTAATAAGCATCAAAAGTTTAGAATGAAATATAAATCATATTGAAGTTTACGGTACAAGTTTCAAACTATTTCATAAAGTAGAGAGCTTTCTTAAGAAGTGATATTTTGTTAAGCTGTTCTGGAAGGGCCAAAACTCATTTGGAAAAAGTAAAAATTTCTTGTGAAAGCTTTTGGAGGTGGGAAGATAAAAAAAACAATTAAAGTGGTGCCAGACCTGTGGAGCTGGTGAAGAGACTGGAGGAGAACCATAGCAGTGGATTCCAAAATGTCATGGAATTCAACATCTGAGAGTGATTCCATAAATTCTGGCATATCACTTGTTCTTTTGCAAAGCTCCTTCAGAATAGAGGAAGCTAATGATGCTGCTTCCTCATACATCGAGCAAACTAGGTAGCTGCAACCATTACAATACAATTCCCCCCAATCAATGTTTTTCCCTTTTTTTTTTTCATTCTCTTTTTAACTCTACACACACAGAGAGACATACATACACATATATTGGTTCAAGAATAAATCATTCACATCCAAATTAACTAAATTGGAGAGGAGTTACTAAATACTATATACTAAATATTATATACTAAATACTAAATACTAATGATGGTGCTTTTTGGTTCCAGCAATTTTCAGAAAAAACTTCCTCCAAAGACATGCCTTTTAGTTTACAGAGGAAAAAAGGTAAAGCCCCTTTTTTCCCTTCTGTCAGCAATAATAAGTGCAAAAAATGAAAGAAATGAAGAAAAAGGAATGAGTTTTACTAAAATTGTAGTACAGTTTATGTTAGATTACCTCTCAGAAAGTTCGATTCGAGCCCAGATTTCAGAAGATAAAGTCGGAGAGGCTTTCATATCCATTTCGCTTCTTCTCTCCAGTTTCCTCTTTGAATGAATTTTCAAGGGCTAGTAGTTCTGAGTGTATAAATTTGTAGATCGATAAACTTAAATGTGGCAATGTATGTTCAAATTTTGAATCTGTTTATTCAGCAAAAGAAAGAAGAAAAAGTATTCAGATTTTGAATCATTGCGCCTTAGAATTTCCATATGTATATAAGACTTAAGATCATGATCTTGCCCTTCTTTATATTTGACTCCCCCCCACCCCATCTCATTTGCTTTGGACTTTTATTTCTTAGATTCAGAGTTAGGTCAAGACAAACGACTCTGACAAAAAAGAGTTACCAACAAAAAGTGAAATACGTAAAATCTTTGGTATTACAAAGTAATAACCTCTATTGGAGAAAAAGGGAATAAAAATGGAAGTCAAATCTAGGAGTGCTTGTTGAATACTCCCATGCCAAGAGGGCCTCATCCATTAAAATTATTATTATTATTAATATTTTTAAATTAACTTTTGACATCTATAAGTTAAAAACAAAAGGGGGGAAAAACTACTTCTTCACAATAATTGAAGACTAGGAAAGTTGAGAAACCCAACATTATATTTACTTGGGTTGGAAACCCACAAAACAGGAAATAAGGCTAAAAAAATGAAAACTAAGAAAATTAAGGGGGCATTCCGAGAGTTGAACTCGGGACCTTTTGGTTGCACCGCTGGAATGGTAATGGCCATGGAATAGAATGAAAAGTAAACATAATTCATTTGTTTGGTTAGAGACTCACCAATTTTCAAGGAATGAAGACGATTCCTTTTGTTTTGACACTAGTTTGAAGCCACGTGCTTTGAACGTGCGTGGTCTTTTGCATAAATTCATTGGAGATATAATTCTAAAACACGATGGACGGTGGGTTTCTTTTTAATTGTTGTTTATGAAAGAACACCACATTTGGTAATGATAATGAGTCTCTGCAATGAAGAGCTAAAGTGTAAAAGATTCCCGAGTCAAGAGTTCAATTTCAGCATGAACAAAACAAGGATACAAAAGGGGCTTTGTTTTCAGCAGATCATCTGACAGAAACACGGGAACCAACTACTTGTCTTGTCAGTGCTCAAGATTTTGTTTTTTTAATTTATTTTTGGCTCCGAAAAACAACCAGAAAGAGTGAGTGCTCAAGAATTTAACCATGTATTTTGACTTAAAAGTTTCTATCTGGATTATGTTTTGTATAGTTCTAGGATTTCATCCCTTAACCATGTCTCCTAGAACGTTTAGCATTGATTACAGGGTTACAATAGATCCAAAAGTTGTTCAAAAAGAAATCCAAAATGGCAAAAATAATCAAATCATAAAGAACCAAAATTTCAGAACCAAATTAAAAGCAACAATCGCAGTAGCAATCCAAAACCTAAAACAAACAAAATCCCAAAACAAAGGAAGAAGTGAAGGTGCAAGTGCGAACCTGAAACAGAAAGAAGCATCACGAGGAGAAAACGGAGCGGAAGACGAGAAAAGAAACAAAGGAGAAGGGGGGAAGGAGCGTGTTTTCCCATCTCATGAGGATACGGATAAAACGACAAGTTATGTCGTTCGAGTTGCCAAATAACCAACGACGTGCATGAAAATGACATGTCGTATACCACAATGGGCTTAAAAGCCCAGTGTGAACGGCCCGGCCCACAGTTGAACTCGGAACGTCACTTTCGTAATTTTGTCCCCGTTCTTGTTCTGAAAACCCCAGAATTAAGCTCCTTCGAATCCTCAAAACATCCCATCCCCCATTAAAAACCTCTCTCTCTCTTCTCTTCTCTCTCTCTCCCTCTCTCTCTAAATTCTGAAGGAAATTCTGAAGGAAGCGCGTCGGCATCACAATAGGAAAGCACGATTTTTTCTTCACACAGGGAAGAACTGGTACTTGTATTTATAACTTTAATGCTTTCAATTTCTCTAGGGTTTTGTAATTTCCTTTTCTTCTCTTCTTAGGGGTTTTGTTTCAGCTAATTTTAGTTGTTTTATACGGGTTTTTTCTTCTTCTGATTATTCGTTTATTTATTTATGAACCTTTTTCTTTTTTAATATTGGTAGATTTGTGTAACCAGAAGTAAAGGTATCAGCTATGGATTCATCTTCGACCGAGGCTTCCGCACAAATGCAGGTGATTTTTCATGCTAATCGTCAGTGATTATATTAATTTGAAGCTAAAAGTGTCACAAAGACTGTTACTTTATGTGTAAGTTTGTAGCATAAATAAATTTGCAGTTATGTTTTACAGCATCTTCTAACAAAGTAAAAAATAAAAAATATTTTTTTTAAAAAATATCAATAGTAACACTAACATATGATAATTTTTGGGATTTTAGTTATTTTATTGGGTTTTTGGTTACTTGATGTGTAACTTGTGTTTTGCCTTTACGTTTACATATCGTCAATACTATGTACTTGAAGCTCAAACAAAATAATAATAATAACAATAATGGAATTTGCAGGAAGTAATGCTGGAGTTTAGGGCTGGTAAAATGCAGTTTGATGGGAAAAAGGTTGTTCCTGATACTCGTAAAGGACTTGTTCGCATTGGAAGGGTATGAGTACGATACTAGTTGATTATTTATTTTATGTTTTACTTTTGAGTTGGAAAAATGCTATCTATCATCGCTGGTGATATAAAATTGTGATGTAATATTAGAACTGTCACGTAGTAACTGTCGTATATTTTGTCGCGTGGCTCTCTATTTTGTTGCCGCACGTCAGTGATAATAGAAAACAGTGCTTTTTCTTAGTCGTGTCTTGATTGATACTAATTTTCTAGATTCAGCTTATCTATTTTCTTTATGTTTCAGGGCGAGGAGGGATTAGTCCATTTTCAGTGGCTTGATCGGACACTAAATGCTGTGGAAGATGTATCCTAATGAATAGTTATATTTCTTTTTTCCCGTCTGTATCCTAATGAATAGTATAAAGACATTAGGAAAAAGTGGAGGAGTTATCATGTGATAGAGTTTGACGATCTTAGGTCACAAGGAGAACCTAATGTGATGTATACAAGAGGAATCAGAGTCGCGGAAGTTAAAACTGCACTACGGAAAATAAAAAAGGAGAAGACATGTAGGCCAGATGATACTCCCATAGAAGTTTGGATGGCGTTAGGAGATGTTGGAATTGTGTGGCTCACTAAGCTTTTTAATAAGATATTAAAGAAGAAACATATGCCTGATGCGTAGAGGAAAAGTATTATTGTCCCCATCTTCAAGAACAAAGGAGGTGTGCTGAATTATAACAATTATAGGGGCATAAAGTTAATAAGTCACACTATGAAACTTTGGGAGAGAGTTATTAAAAGGAGAGTAAGGGCCACAACTACCATCTCAGGTAACCACGGAAGCCATTTTTCTTCTTAGGATGCCGATGGAAAGGTACAGCGAAGCCAAGACAGACTTACATATGGTCTTTATAAATTTAGAAGAGGCATATGATAGGGTACTGAGGGAAGTTTTATGGTGGGTGCTAGAAAAGAGAGGAGTGCGTGTGAGGTATATCAAGGTAATTAAGGACATGTACGATGGGGTGGTCACGAGTGTGAGAACTGTTGGAGGCTATACGGCAGAGTTCTCCATTCGGATCGGCCTTCATCAATGATCTGCTCTTAGTCCCTATCTTTTCACCATTGTGATGGATGAGCTGACAAGAGAAATTCAAGATAAAGTTCATTAGTGTATGCTTTTTGCGGACGATATAGTTTTAGTTGATGAACATAGAGGAGTTAACTATAAGTTAGAACTGTGGAGACAGACTCCCGGGACGAATGGATTTAAGTTAAGTATGACGAAAACTGAATACATGCATTGTAGGTTTAGTAACTCAAGTAATTAGAGTGATGGAATTTCTTTAGATGGTGTGGAGATTGTGGCTTCTAGGAAGTTTAGGTACTTTGGGTCTATAGTGTAGTACGAAGGAGATATAAAAGATGATATTCAACATAGGATTAAGGCAGGGTGGGTTAAGTGAAAGAATGCTACGAGAGTTTTATGTGATGGCAAGATGTCTATTAAGTTAAAAGGAAAGTTCTAAAGGACTGCAATCCGCCCAGTTATGTTATATGATATTGAATGTTGAGCCATTAAGAGACAACATATATGTAAGATGAGTGTGGCAGAAATGCGTATGTTAAGATGGATGAGTGGCCATACGAGAATGGATCGCATAAGGAATGAAGTTATTCGTAGTAAAGTAGGTCTAGCACCAATAGAAGATAAGGTGTGCGAAGGCCGCTTGAGGTGGTACGGGCATGTCCAACGTAGACCACTAGAAGCACCAGTTCGTGATTGAGAGGACATTCTTATACCTAATACTAGGAGAGGGAAGGGTGGACCTAGAATTACGTGGACTGAAGTAGTTAGGAAAGACATTCTAGATCCATGCCCTTTAGGAAAGTCTAATTTCGAACAGAGCTGCGTGGAAAAGTGAAATCTATATAGCTGACCTTAATTAAGTTGGGATTAAAACTTGTTGTTGTTGTTTTCTTGGTTTGCATTGCAGTATCTATGTGTTTTATGTGGTTCTTTATTATTTATATTTTTCTTGTTTGCCACTTTCTACATCTTCTTTTCTCTTTTTGGGATTGTGAAATTTTTTTCTTTCCCGTTTTCTAGTTTCCTTGACAGACTGTATGACAGGATCAGATTATTTTTCCCGATGAAGCTATTTTTGAGAAGGTGTCGCTCTTCACACATTATACTTTTTCTTTATTCTTGATATGTTTATACATATATAAAGAATTATGTGTATATATATATATATATATATATATGTCGTCCATCTTTTTTAGTTTATTGTTGAGACTTGCTCTAACTATTGGTTTACTTAGGTTAATCAATCATCGGGAAGAGTTTACATATTGAAGTTCAACACAGACGACAGAAAATTCTTCTTTTGGATGCAGGTCAGTGTTGTAGTTATTATTGTCTACCCCATTAGTGAACTATTCACCATGCCCATTGTTTATGGCTTTATGAATTTTTTCCAGGAGCCTAGAGCTGAAGGTGACTCACAGTTATGCAGCTCCGTAAACTACTACATCAATCGACCTTTAGGTACACATTTTCATTATTTTGTTTTCAATACTTCCACTGTTTGTAGCTCAAAAACATAATGGCCTCGTTCATTTCACCAATTTGAGTTTTCAGTTTTAGGTTTCTACAGTAAAAAGCTCTCAGAAAATGTCACATCTAACTTTTTCTGCTACAGTGAAAAGCTCTCAGAAAATGTCACATCTCAGCTTGAATTGAAAACTCGAATCCGCGAAGTGAATGAGGCCAATATATGATTTCGGTTTTATGAGTTTCTTTTGCAATTTTGTGTCAAATTTGATAGTGTGTATCTTCCTCTGCCAGAGTTTGGGGGTGAAGACGAGCCAGATGCTTCTGTACCACTGCAAGTTTCTGAAGATATGGTTGACGATGATATCTCATCAAGGTCAGTTTCTGAAAACATGGAACTTGTATACCAAATTAGAAGAAAAATTTTAAGGCACCAAGAAAACTAATAACGTGTTAAATAGGTTTGGTGAAACAGAAGTGTATTGAAATGCTGCTAATGCACAGATCACTCTCATTAACCATAAATGTTCTCATAACTTTATAAGAATTTTCTGAAGAGTCAGATGTTTCTTTCTGAAGTCATATTTTTCCTACCCTTCTGTTTATGGTGCTATTACAGATGCACATGCATATATTGTATAGATGTACATTATGTGGCTCAACCCTTGATATCATTTGTATGTTTTCCAGAGCTGGAAACTTGATTGTCCCAAACTTAGGTGCTGAAGTATCTAGTGATGTTACCTCGTCATCCGGCGCGGTGAAACTGGAAGACCTGCAAAGAATCTTGAGTAACATTGGGCCTGCAGGTTTGTAATCTCTTCTTGAAAGAACACTTATTCTAATTCGTACATGCTCAAAGTTGCTCTGAGCTCTAACACTCGTAATGATATGATCTATTATAGATGGTGCTGGAGACCCAGATAGAGGTAATAACACAGTTTTGTTGTTGTTGTTGACTTGCATCTCGCATCTTCATTGTAGAGCACTTTCTCAGCTGATCAGCTTCTAGAATCGCATTGTTTTCTGGAAACCTCTTTTCTGGGATCTGGGAATGCGTTCATAAAACTTGGGTTTTTTTTATAAATAAAAACATCTAAATAAATGGAAAGCATTGGGAGTTCTGCATTTATTTTTGGCACGTCCTTTCTGTTGATTCTTGTTTTGTTGGCCAGGCTTGGGACTAGATGACATACTGAAGCCCGATTTGATTATGCCATTGATTGAGACACTGCCATTGGAACAGGATTTAGCTTCTTACTTACCGGAGGCAAGTGATAATCCGCCACTACCCGAGTTTTCATGCATCCTCTAGCATTTTTGGTGTTTTAATCCCATTATATCTACAGGGTCAGTGGTCTCCGGAAGATCTCTTAGAGTTGCTGCAAAGCCCGCCTTTCCGCCAACAAGTAGACTCATTTACCTATGTATGAGTTTGGAGGCCCATCTTTTTATTAACCTTTCTGCTTTTCAGTATGCTGTTTCTATTGTTTAATGAGACGTATTCTTCTCTACATGTTATGATATAGGTGCTTCGAACCGGGCAGATAGATTTAACCCAGTTTGGAATTGACCCGAGTAAATGTATGTGATGCATAATTTTACTAGAGTTTTGTCACAGTACCTCCACTAATGTGGTGATTGCATCACTTGGCTATTGTTGTTTCAGTGATTTCGTTCTTCACTCAGTCTCTTTTTTTTCATTGGCAGACAAGTTCACAGTGTTGTCATTTTTGGAAGCGCTCGAAGATTCTGTTGCAAGAACTTCGGAGTCGGAGTCAAGACAAGGTGATAAGGATTTGAGATCTCAATCGTGTAACCGAAATGAGCCCATGGATGAGTCCCAGTAGTTTGCTTTGGACATGATTCTTATGATCCTATCCCGAAGTTGTTTATTTTTCCATTTCTTCTTGTTCATTGTGGTAGAGAACTTGTTATCTGGTTACTTTTTGTCTTTCATATTTCACAAGGTATATGCTTTTACAATGGGAATTGGGAAAGAAGAAAAAGAATCAACGAGGAATGGGAAGGCGTCGGTATTTGAAACATTTTCTGTTCTATATACAAATGAATAAATCAAAAGGTTTTTCATCCCCGGCTTCATTCAAGTATGCTGCTTTTGGCTTTCCTCCTCTGTTTGCATGAAGTGTGTATATATAAAGGCCAATGGCCAAAGTAGGAGAAAATAAAGAATTTACTTTTGAGATTGCATGAGTGGTTTTTATTTTTTACTCTTGATAAATAAGTGTAATTGTTTAATTAAAAAAGTTATGAATTAAGCGTAAAATAATAAAAATTTTAACTCATCACTTTTAAAAGATATTTATCAAGATTCTTCAAGTAGTAGAAGAGTAGGAAGCAGGCCATGTCTTATTGTCTTATATATATCGATCGGAGAGAAAAAAGTCAAATAGGAAGAAAGAAAATTATTGGAATACCTCTTTTATTGGAAAACCGACATAAAAATTTTGCTAATATGCATCCTCAGAAAATCTGAAAAGCAAGGAAATTTAGAAAAAAATCTAGCTCACCAAAGGATATGTCATTTTTAAAACATAATATAGACTTCTCTCTCTAGTAGGTTTTCTAAATTTTTCAACTAAAGGGAATGCCAATAATTTCCCTTTCTATATAAATAGTAACATAATAATAATAATAATAATAATAATCTATACATAAATGCTTTAAAAAAAAACAAGAGAGTTGGCTTCTAAAGAGGCCGTGTGTTGGCTTTTGTGAAGGTCACATGTTGGCTTCCTCTTTATTTTTCTTAAATTTTTTTTTTATTTTCTCTATTGTCTCTCTTTTTTCATGTTTAGATTTTTTTATATTTTTCTTCTCTCTTTTCTTTTTTCTACTTATTGCCTTTTTTATTTTTCCCCCGACTATTATCTACCTATTGCCTTAAGTAGTAATTTTTTTTATTTCATTAAATAAGTTTTTTAATAGGGACGGACAAAATATATATAATATTTTGTTTATCTCTTTTTAAAATAGATCTTATATTTATAATCATGAATTATTAAAACACTTTTACTTAATGTAAAACTTGCATTCTAATCCTTTTGTTTTTTTATTCATTTTAAATCTTATATATTCTAATTGTGCATTATTAAACCTTACCCATGAATATATTCTTATTTAAAAAATTTCAAATACATACTTGCCTAAATATAAATATTTTTCTTTATTGTTAATATTTTTTTAGATGTATATATTTAAAAAATATAACATAGTCAATACTACCCGCGTGTTTCAACTAATAATAATAAAAGAGAAATATAACACACTCAATACTACTTTCAACTAATAATAATAAAAGAGAAATATTTCTGTTATTTCCGTCGTTCTCCCTAATAACAATCTCCTATTGGGCTTATTTTTGGTATAGCCCAATCAAGATGGATCAAAGTAGCAGAAGCCCACTTAAAAAACATGACCGTTTTACGTTGATTTGTTATTCCTCAGAACCCTAAACCCTCTTTCTTCTGAAACTGAGAAAGCTTTCTTCTTCTTCTTCTTCTTCTTCTTCCCCAAACCACTTTGTCTCTTATCTCTAACAGAAAGAGAGAGAAACAGAAACAGAAAATGGGAATATTCGAGGGATTTAGGGCAATCGGATACATCACCAGCAGCGTCCCTTTCTCCGTTCAGCGTTTGGGCACCGAAACCTTCGTCACCGTCAGCGTTGGCAAAGCTTTTCAGATTTACAACGTAATTTCCTTTTCCTTCATCTTTTTTTCTTTTTTTATTATTGTTTTTTAGTTCGTTTTCAATTAATTTCGGGTTAAATGTTTTCTTTTTCAGTGCGCCAAGCTCAATCTGGTTCTGGTTGGTAAGTTGCTGTTGGAATTATTTTACTGAAATGACGTTTTCTTTTTTTAGTCTTGTTTTTCATTTCTAAATTTTGTTCAAGATCGCGTTTTTTATGTAAACCCAGTTTTCAATTTTCTATTTTTGATTACTTATATAGAACATACTCAACGTTGGTGCAGTCTTAGAATTTCAAAAGCATTCTTTTAGACTACTAAGTACTAATTCCATTCAAATTTCTCC